TGAATATTAGTCATCCACTACAATATCCCATTCATCGCATACCTTACTCTTCTTTATTAATCACTTTTTCCAATATATGCTTAGCAAATGCATATCATACATACATACATACATACATACATACATACATACATACATACATACATACATACATACATACATACATACATACATACATCATACATACATAGGCATAGGAAAACACAGAGCAAGTGACATTAATAGACAAATATACATCGATGATAGGATATGTTGGTGACATTTCTGGTGACACGAAGGGTTTATAACAGGCATTTGTAAAGTAGAAGTAATTGACGGCAGAGTGTTCAATCATGACATTGAGAATGCGGATTTGACTAAGATGTGATATTATTGGTTGTACTATTTTAGGGTTTTCCATCGAGATATTTATTATATCTGCTTGAAATTTCGATTGTTTCTTATTTCCAAGTTTAAATATTAATTAAATATTTAAAAACGATTTTTTTTATACATTAATTTCCTCTTTCCTTTTTTTCTTAATTTTTTACTTTATTCTTTTTTATTTCAGGTAAACACATATATGAAATGCCTCTTTGCATTGATATTTTATTGTTTACTGATTCTTGTTATTGGTAAACAAACAATAACTGATAAGGATGGAAAAGTTGCTGATATAAAAGCAAATTTAACAACACTTATTCATGTTCATGCTGTAAGTAATATTTGAACATGTCTTTGGAAATTTTCCTTTCTTGTTAATCAATTAATTAAAATTATGATTAATTAATTAAACGATAACTTTAATTAATTAATTAATTAAACGACGATTAATGATAATGCAAAATTTCTACCAAAATGTTGAGTACTTCAATATATCCAATAAATCCTTGTATTATTCAGAAAAACAAGAAGATAGTAAAAAATGTGAATTTTTAAAACTTAAATTTTTTATTAAAGACGTTTCTGAGGAAACAGTTCATTTTACTGGGAAGTTGTTTTATTTAAATGCATTATGCATACTATAACAATATATTAAAAATGGCGTATGGTAACATGGTAACCATACATCTTATCATTATAAGATTTCAATTTTCATTCATGTAATATTATCATAAATCGTTAATTATACAGATGTGGCGACATGGTGATCGTACACCGATAACTTTGCTTCCAAATGATAATGAAGAATCGTGGGAAATTGGCTTAGGTGAACTAACAGTTGATGGTATCTGGCAAGCATATCATCTTGGTAAATTACTTCGACAACGATATGATGGATTTTTGAGTGAAACTTTTAAAACTTCGGAGGTTCCATAAGTTTTAAAATATAACAATTTATTCCTATTATTACTATAAATTTTTCAGTGTATATGCACACAAATCTGCCTTATTTCTTTTTTTAGATTTAAATTAAAAGATTTTAATCCTTCACTTTAATAATGTATTTTTAAAAAAAAGAAAAAAACGGAAGGAAAAAATGAAAATAAAAGTTCGCAGTTAACAAATGGTGCAATTTTTCTTTTTCTTTTTCTTTTTGCTGTGACAAAGTTCCATCATAGCTTCATCTATGAAAGAAAAAAGAAGAGTGAAATTACTAAGAAAAAAAAACACATTCAAGTTACTCAAGTTTTGACCTTTAACTTATGTAAAGATAATTTGAGAATATTGGGACTATCTGGCTGCATTAAAAAAGAATTATTTTATTCATTCAATTTCTGATTGGAAAGATTATTATGCAAAAGGAATATGGGCATGAAAATTGTTCGGCTAATTAATTGATTAGTTGTAGTGACAAATTTTTTGAAGACTTAAACATAATTAATCAGCTTCTTTTTTTTGCAAACATATTTATGCAGCATACTATTTCAGATTTACGTAAGAAGTACAGATACCAATCGTACGTTAATGACAGCTAATGCTGTACTTCAAGGTTTATATTCACAGACGTATCATGATGATAAATTATTATCAGTATGGCATCCGATACCAGTGCATACAATACAAGCCGACAAAGACAAAGCTTAACTTTTTTTTTTATTTTTTCGGATTATTAATTTTCTTTCAAAAAAAAAGTGATAATTAAAGAATTAAGCAAGCACAAAAGTTTGCATTTACTGGCTTCATTTGTTGTTTGTATTATAGTTTTAGTATGGCAATAATTTTCTGCTCAAATTAATATTATTTAAATTTAACAATTTAAAATTTCTTTTAGCTATTACTCCAACAAAATTGTCCAAAGGTAAAAGAAGAGCTAAGAGAAGTGCTCAAAATGGAAAAGATACAAAATGCATTAAAGATGAATGACGAATTTTGGCGATATATCGGTAAACATATGAACGTAGAAAATGGCTATTATGATTTTGAAAATATTTGGGTCGTTTATGATTCACTTAAGGTTATTGTAAGTTGTCATTTTCTTTTTAAGTTTAAACTAATTTAGTAATTTTACTTTAATTTCATTTTAAAAATAATTCCATTTTAAAGTGAAAAATAATTTCATTTTAAAAATATACTTTAATTTAGGAGAACAATAGTTTGGTTCAGTTATTTAAATAAAGAAGGAATTACAAGTATTTTGGTCAAAATGTTTTGAAATTTACAGATAAAAAATAAATTATTTAACAATTTTTGTTTTATTTTTTTTTTCGTCTTTCTCCTACATTTTAGACTTATCATAAAGACAAACATCAATTTCCAAAATGGATTAATGAAACTATATGGAATAAAATTTCGGAAATGTATAATTTATGGGGTCAATATGAATTCAGTACCAATTTGTTGAAAAGACTGCGAGGAGGTTAATTCTTCAATTTTTATAAGGATTGTTTCTTTGGAATTAAAAAAAATCAAAAAATTCATATCACTCAGTAAAAATTATGGCAAAAAGAATAAATTTTAATAGTTTTAGGCGAATTATGGAAAGAAATTTTTGCAAGACTTAACAATTTGATAAAGGAACATTCAATACGGAATCAAAAGATTTATGCATATTCTGCTGTTTGTTTTAATCTTGCTTTCTTATATTCTTCATCACTTTCTTCCCATTAATTAATTTGATTAATTAATTAACACACTAAAATCAGTTAAAAAACATACATCTTTTTTGTTGTTTACTGGACAAAATCATACATTTGCTTGATAAAATTCCCTGAACAAATTTTTTTTTTTTATGCGTAATTGTTTTATTTATGACAAAATTTGTTAAATAATATTTTGTTAAATGAAATTCTCATAATGGATTATTACCTCCTTTCTTGATGTTTAAGCAAATAATGTATAAACCTTTCAGCATGATGATACATTAGCAGTATTACTAAGTATGTTTGGTATGAAACTTACTACTCCTCCACCATATGCTGCTCTTGTATTACTTGAAACGCATCGGATTAATAATCAATTCATTCTTCAGGTATGTATTTCAATTTATATTAAATCATCAGTCTATTCTTTTTCATCTTTATGAAATTATAAATATATACCATGGTTATCAATTAATACTATATTTTATTGTATATATTATCCTTGGATTATCATCATAAACATTTAAAGATACGTAAATAAATTGAAAATAAGATAACTGTGTTATCAATTCAACTACATTACTACTCGTAGCGGTTGCAGTTGCAGTTTATTCTTACCTAGCATTATCATTATCAGTTACTTTTTAAAAGTCGTTATCACACCTTAGCCAATTCACATACTTCTAATTACGTTACCCTTGCTAATACCTATATCAGTTCCTACATATCCTATTTATGTTATCAGTTTATGAAACGTGGAAGTGATGCAATCATTAGCAAAGGTGATGTAATTAGAAGTGTATGAATTGATCGAAATATGAAATCTGTTTGTAAATGCGTATTTCCGATTCTCTAAGTCAAATTTTATACAAATTAAGGGTAACTTTATGTCGTTGAATGTTACATTGGGTAACGTTCAAAATTCCAATTAAAAGCCCATTATTAATGTCCCTCAAAATTACAATTTTTAAAATATTTTACTGATTTTAAGCTTTTTTACAAAAATGTCACCAATTCCAATCATATTTATCATTTTCCAATTGGCTATTGTAATGGAATATGTACAGTGGAAAAATTGGAAGTAGCAACAAACGATTTTATTCCACTTAATTGGGAATTGGAATGTGATCCATTTGTTTTGTACAAGAAAATAAGTAAGTTATATAACAATAAAATGTATCAAAGAAACAACTAATAACATTCAACAAATGATGAGAGGAAATATGAAAATGAACTCTTTTTTTTATTGGTTAACAAACATTCCAGTGAATTTGACCAGGTCAAGAAAGATGTTTTATAATCAAATGTAGGAGATGATTCTGCTTGTAGTTCTGTTAAGAAAGATAATTAAAGTGATTTAAGATTTTGGGAAAAGTTTGAAGATCGAAAATGAGAGGAAATATGTTGGAGATTGATGTCATATTGTTTTTTAATATGAAATGAAATGTAAATATTTCAGTTCAATAAATGCTAGCATTTGATTGATCTGACAGTTTCGAAACTTTAATTTTTTCTAAACATTTTTTTTTATTGTCAAATGTCAGTTTAGGTATCTCACAACCTTTTTTTTTCACAAAGATGTGAAATTAAAAAAATTTCTATTTTAATTCAAATTTATTTTAGGTGCTTTCGTATTACTTATATCAGTGATTATCATTGTGGCAATAATTTCTTGCCAAATTTTAAAGTCACATTCGATGAAACGGAAAGTATATGGTGATCGAACTGTTCTCCCATCTGATGCTGATATGGCGCTTCTAAGAGAGGATGTTATGCAATAAAATGTCCATCGAATTTCATCTAAGCTTTTCGACTATAAATGTTTCAAAGTTAATGAGAAGATTATTTTGTTATCGTAATTTTAAATGATCATAATTTCTCCAAAGAACATATTGTTGAAATTATAATGACCTTATCAATAACAACAATAATAATAATAATGAAATATTGTGATGATAATAATAGCACCAATAATTATAAAATTCTCATTTGTTGACAAAAAAAAAAGCGTTATATAAAAAAAATAAACATATACCATACTTTTTTTGCTATCACACATAATTTTTTGATAATATAATTTTTTAAGTTCAAATTTTTCCTCCAATCACTTTTGCTTTTCTGTTGATCACGAGCATAGCATAAAAGCTGATCATTTTTAAATTCTAAAATTCATTTCATATTGCTATAACTGATTGTGGGATATTTACATTTACATATTTTTGTTCATTTTTCTCTTTTTCAAATGTTTATTTATTTTTCAGAGTTGTAATATGTGCATACCTTTTGCTATTATAAGCTTTTATTGTTATGCTAAATTAATTTGAAAATGAATAAAATCCCTCCCCTACCCCCCATAATATGTTTTATATTTGTTTTCAATTAAGCATAATACTATCATTATGGATGGGCCATTATCCAATCCGTTGCCAAAAATTGCATTCATTTCTCTATTGAAATGTTAATTTTCAAGATGAAAAAAATTTTTAAATAATCAAGTTTTTGTAGAAAAAATTAAATTTTTCAAACTTGGCTCATCTTCCAAAAATAAACACATATACTACAATAAGTAAATATGAATATTAATTATATTAAACATATCCGACATTTCAATTTCAGCTTTATCTTAACATTTTACCTTCTCTATTTTTCCTCCTCTCTTCTTGGGAATTTTTTTTTTTTTTCACTTCAATAACTTCCATTGCTCTTTTTAATTACTTTGAATTATTCAACAGAAACATTTCATACCAAATTACCTTTCTTTTTCCCTAAAATTTTCCAACTTTTATCGGCCCATTTTCAGTTAATGTGTATTTTTTTTTAAATTTTTCTAGTTCATTTTTTTCAAATCAATCAAATTAACAAATTTTTTTTTTTAAAACTAAAGAATAAACAATATTATTAGACAGAATTAATAGAAGCAAATAAAAATGTAATCAAAAAGAACACTACAATAATAATAATAATGCTACGACAAATATTTGTGACACTTTGTATTATTTTTTTGATGAAATATTACTGCTTAATATTTGTAGTATTCCATCAGCTGTTTGCATACCATTTTTACAATCCTATGAGAGAGCTGCTTTTGTATACTGAAATAAGCATAACTTGTCTTCTTTTCATTATTTTTTATAATTCCTTTCAATCGAATAACTTTTTTTTAAATAAAAAAATAAATGAAGAAATATAAACATTGAAATATCATATTGAAAATTTCTAGACAGTGATAAAGGTCGAAATTTCATTTTAAAAGACGAATAAATTTATCAGTTCCTAGTCAAAATATTTATGTGTCTCATTCCATTATTCATTAATGATAATCAACGAAACATTTTTGCATTACGATTGGATGCTAATATTGATAGGAATATTTAAGCTTCAATTTCTTCCTAATAAGCTTCTTTTCCGCTTACAACATAAAATTCCACAAAAATTATTCAATATTTCACAAATCATCATCTATAAAAGTATAACTGGTTTTTCCAGGTTGATTTGTCCGATGTTATCATTTTGGATCGCACTGTGGGAAGTTGATAAACAATAGCGATAATGGTGATACTGATGCTAATGATAATGATAATAATGATGATATGAATTGGCAAATTCTATTTCCACTTTAACAATTATTTTTAGAATGCTTCCTTCCTCGACGAATTTCCCTTTCCCTACCTAACTTCGTTTTTTCTTGAGCATATTACATACAGAAAAAATAAATCAATTATTGCTGCGAAAAGTTCCCAAAAAAATAAAAAGGCTTGGACATATGTTGCTAAGTAAAAGCCATTTTTAGTTAAATATAATATGTTAATGAAAAGAGATATGCATGACATAAAAAGGGTTTCATGATCTATCATTTAATTCTTTTTTTTGATTAATACAAATTTATTCATTAGTTTATATTAGTTCAATGAATAAAATATGACCTTTGGACTGTAACGTATTGTGTAACGTTTATGCCATTGCTTACGTTGATCTATTTTTCAAAAGAAAATAAGAAAAAAAATACCCGCCAGGGTAACATGTACAGTTGTGAAGAACATGTCGTTGAAAGAATAGAAACAAAAACTGTCAACATTTTGAAAATATATTACCGATCATGTAATTATGCTAAGATTATCGTTAGTTAAGGTGCTACAGTATTTGTACACCAGAAGCCGACCAAATATGTAACTTTTTTTTTAATAAAAAGCTTCCAAAATTATTAGCAAACAAATTTCTCCAAATTTACTGGTTCGACTAATGGAGGGATAAGTAGGTTGACTGAATAAATGATACTTCGACATGTTTCTTTTCTTTTTTGTAAACTTATACTATTTAATCTGAACTAAACCATAATAACATTGGAATGATTTCGACTTAAATCGCACTTCCAAGAAGTTTCAGTTAAGCATAAAAGTATTTTCAAGAAAGTTCAAGCTCACAGAAAATGTAAAAGATCGAATATGCAGCTCTCTTTTGCTTCCCTTCATTCAATAAACACAAAAACCAATAGTTCAAACAGTTGTATGATAATATATATCCTTTACTATATAAGACATTACGAAACATTCAAAGGATACAAATTATATGCCAAACTTCTAAAGCATATTAATTGTGCATGAAAAACCACAATTTGGCTAATAGTTTAATTGATAATTGAATAAACGACATTTTGATATGTTTTTATTTTAGTCAGGTTCTAGTAATTGATAGGTCTCACATACTGTTTCTAATGACGACCCTTAACTCGTTCTTTAAGGTAAAGATTGGGAGTGGGAACAGTCACGCTGCCCCAAAAAACTTGGTATTATGGTATTTTGATTAGGAATATATCACAATAACATTAAGTACATCGCAATGAAAACCTAACTAACCTCACTTAATTTAGTAACGAAAAGTTCCCAGTTGCTACGGTGAAAATAAAACTGGTGTCGATATTTTTCTATTCATTAGTTATCATTGACACTCATACCATTGTATTCCTAATATTTTCCAGCAAATTTTGCATTAAGTGCATTTGTACCATCCCCTTTTTGATTTTCCGGTGGCATCCACATGATATAATCCTCATTTCTGTTAGCAATTCCTTCGCCATAATCATCGTTCTGCAATGAATCGCGTAAACGGCTTGAAAAAGCTGTAGAAGAATTGGCTTAAGTACTGCCATGTATAAACTATGCATAAGCAGATATATTGCATCATCCAGGTGGATGAATGCCCGACATTAACAAATTAGTATAGAATAAAAGTTGAACAATTGAAAATAGTTTAACAAATTAGATAGCTATGAAATGTCGCTGTAGTATTACACAGTGTATTACAGTACTACACAGTGCGTATATCGCCGATAGTTTGATTAGTAACATATAGAACCTTTCGCAGCTTCGATGATGTTACATCACGGATTCGGATGCGTTTTCGTTTTAAAGGATTGTCATTTTTTGTTGTAGATGGTTGCTTTTCATCCGAAACGGCAGATTGCATATGCTGCGGTATTTCTTGTGCCACGGTTGACGGAGCAATGGTTGTTTCATCCTTTTCTTCATTTATAACTTTCTCTGTATTGGACACAACTGCTAACGTTGTTGAGATATTGGATTCCTTGCAATTGAAATTATTTTATGAAAGTAATGAAAATAACGAAATTAGAAAAAGACTTTTCTGAACTGAAAAAAAGTCTTTTAAAAGACAACCACAAAACAACCGGCCAAATTAATTCAGCCATAATCATTCATCTAATTTAAAAACAAACCTTTCCACCAGAAGCATTAGTTGCCACTGCAAGATCTCGTCGATGACCATTAGATGCAGTGTTAACAGAATCAACTGTTTTTTCATCATCTTCAACTTCCGCTATAAAAGGCAGCCTATCAGCAGTTTCTCTGATGAATGTATCCAATGGTAGTTCCATTCCCAATGACTCACTTCGTTCTATCTTTTCCGGAAGTGATTTTTTAGCCTGTCGCATTTTCATCAATTTCTTCATTGTTGCAGTAGACAAAGAACCCATGGCACGTTTACCATCCTGAGAATTTGAATTTAACTTCTAAAAACCACAAAATTCCTGGAAAATTTTCGAAATTATCTGTTCTGAGAAGCAGAAGGTATCGTTAACTTGTTACATCATTTAAAATCTGAATTCGAAAGAACAATTCATCACCTGAATTGATTGTGTTTTCAATGTTGGCAGTTCTACCGGCTTTGCGATTTTGGCCAATTTTTCGAGTCGTTCTTTTTCATGTTTCAGAGCTACGAGACGATGTCGCAAAACTGATTTTTCCATCTTCACCTGCAAATGAAGTTATTTCCTACATTCCCTCGGATCCTTCTGCATATGATGAAATTTAATATAGAGCACTAAGCAGTTAAAAGCATACTTGCACATTGTGCAAATGCATAGTATATTTCTATGCTAAGTAAGCAGCGATGAAGCTAGGCCGGCTCCTTCATAAAACACATGTCGTGAAGTAAACATAATAAAATAATTTTGATATTTGAAATAGCTTGAAAAAACTAACTGGAAATACAGATGAAATCAAACTTACAGTCAAGCTATCTTTCTCGCTGCTAAAATATCCCAGTTGTTTGCAGAATTTATCGAGATCATCATCATCTTTTTCATCATCCTCTTTTTCCATTCTTTCTTTGGAAATCGCTATTAGCTGAGCCTCCACTTCACATAATTCTTTACTTATTGAAGCAATCTTCTTCGTCAAAGTTTCGAAAGTTTCTATTTCCATTGTCATTTTGCCTTTCGCTTCCTGATATTGGCAGATAGAAGATTTCTGTTTCAGAGAGTGACATAGAAAATATTTAATAATGACAACACAAATTTTTCTTGCCTTTTTTCTTGAAAATGACAAATATACTGAAAGAAGAAAATAGCAAATGATAACTAACTAAAGCACGCTGCCGCCGCTTTTCACGATTTTTTTCAATTTGACCTGTCCGGTCGAGATATGTATCTTCATCGGAATCATAATAATCATTATCTACTAAATTTTTAGCCTTCCTTCTAGCTTCATTCGACCGAAACAGAATATTATGCATGTCTGTCAAAAATAAGCATAAAAAATATGACATATAGAATAAGCCTTTTTAAAAAGTTCTAATAGGTTGGATAAAACTTGAACAAGATATAAAAGAAGATGGTATAAACTCCAATTTCTCCCCTGGATTCAAAGTTTCGAAATACCTAAGGTTTTGCAAGCATTGAAGGCACATAACACCTGAGCTTCTTTTTTGCTTCCACTACATACCGCTGATGCAGATAAGGACTGGCCAGCTGCTGTATCAACAGGTAATCTGAATAATTAAAGTTCAGACCTCCTCAAAATTAAGAAACTAGCCGTTATTATACGGTTAATCTATTCAAAACTGAAAATAAAAGTGAATATAAACTGACTCAATAGAACATATCCATTTGTGGTTTTGCCCCATCCCTGTTTCGTCAAATGTGAAATTCATATCGAAGCCTTCTTTTTCAAAAAACCGTGACAACACCTTCAGCGGATCATCACGATATTTTTCTCCCCGATCTTGAATATCATCTGCATAACACGCCTGAGCATATGCTAGTTCTTCGTCGTAATCTGAAACGACGTATTTTAAAAAAGAAACCATAGCAATCACATAATTCCCAGATTCTACTTATGTATCTTCTTAACCCAGCTCTACCGCAATTACTCATTTATTTGAAACTCAAAAGAATCACAACTAATTCTTCTTTGTTCAATATTTGAAATCTCTGGATATGAAAAAAGTACAAATAGAACTGAGCCAAAAAATTTTGAGTCTTCGACTTTTGGGGAAGAAAAAATGGGAAGCAAAAAACAAACCAATCCCCCACATAATACCATCACTCTCTTTTTCACTTTCTGACACCTTTTTCTTCTCTCTTTGTATTTTATCATAAAGTTTTTTTTGCTCGATCAATCGTCTCATTTCTGTTGGTGAATATTCCCATTCCTCTTCAGTATCCGAGTTTGGACCAAATAAAGTCATAATTCTGCTACTTCCTTGAAAAATAAAAAATTAAAAATCACTGGAGTGGAAGGAAAAGCTTGACTTGCAAGGCAAACATGATAGCTCAAAAAATGAATTGTCTGAGTACCAGAAAATTAAATCGGTTAACCTTAGTTTGTATTATAGTTTGTACTATACTTTTTCCAAGGAAAATATTGGAAGGAAGGTTTGCTTTAAATTGTAATAATTAATTTTAAATAGTAATACAAATAAAGCATACCTCCAAACTGCACAACATGTCCGACACGTATTCGGATGAACTGTTTCGGTGGAATTCTTTTTTATTTAATTTGGTACCATGTGTGCTACCCAAATCATAAATATGCCATCCTTTACCGGTTCGATTCATTAAATCATCACCATATTGAAGTATGCAATGATGTCTACAAACTGTTAAACAGTGTTAAAAATGATAAACTCGAAAACAAAAATTTCCGAAATTAGGATTTAGCGAACTCGGAACTCGACATTCCACTGCAAATAGGTACTATATTTGAGAGAGCTGGATAATATGAAAACCGGAAGTATTTTCCTAATATCAGAGGAAAACCAAAGCTTTAGAAAATCAAAACTTCAGTATTCAGTAGTCCTCATGCCATATGATAGATGCATGAATGCAACTAATCGAAAGAAAAAGTTGTTGCAATGGCTTTGCAAAAAGTCTACTGATGAGAATAAATTTCCATGGAAATACCTTGAAATAGTTGGGTGCTCCAGTTGTATGTCACAAGATGGTAATCGACCGATGACCAGAAACGTTCCAGTTTTTCGTCTCCCGAAATCAACCTTATTAATTACGGTACCATTTTTGATAACTTCAAAGCCGTAATGCATATCATTCGGTGGCTCAACGGCAAATGGTGGTGGAACATATTCCAAATTAGGCTGAGTTATGGATATGACCGGCATAATAACGTCCATCACTGCATGCTGAAAGAGTGAAAAAAAAAATATCCAGCCTTTTTCCGTTTGTTACATTAGTGTGAAACTAATTTTGAAGAGCTATAGCTATAAGAGTTTATGTTCCGCATGTGCCATATCAATATGTTTCAGATATTTAAATAAGAGATATTAATAAAATTAAAAATATAGGCAGTGAGATTCAATGAAATCCTAAAAAGAATTTTGTATATTATTTCAGGTAAGTTTAAGTTTATGTGACCAGCTATGTCAGCTGATACAACGTCTACGTGAAGCTGAATATACGGAAGCAAAGTATGTTTGCTTCAAAATTATTTGAACATATAAATTCGATCCAAATAATTCTATGTTTTTCTGTAAACTAATATTGAAATAATTACTTTCTCGTCCTTTTCTTTCGACAACAAAGGCTTAGAGTCATTCGTATCCATTTCCAGTGTATTCTTGAAATTTAAATTCTTTATTATATTTCCTCCCCCATCACAAAAAGATGATGTAGGAAGAAAACCAACTAATCGCTTAATTAGCGTCTAACTCTACCGCCGACACAACAGCGAAATACAAGAACCCAGTTTCAACGGTAAAACAATTTTACGGTCCGTAATTTCTAATGCTTGTTTATCTGATTAATCTTGCGAGGAAGTTGAGGATGTAACATCAGCTACGTGTCGTGTATTATGTATTGTTATCAAAGATATTCGTTGTAGTGAAAGTTTTCCAGGCTGATATTCTTGCAAGGCTTACTTTTAACATAATATACCACAAATTACAGGTTTGGGTAATTTTTGACGACATGAATTTACCGGAGAAACGTATGAAAGAAGCAGTGGACGTATTGATCGATGACATCGATCAGAGGTACATATACATGGATATATTTAGTAAAATCGACTATATGTCGAAATGTTTATTCATCTGGTAAATATGTCTACAACTGTACCACTAATGAAAGTGATTAATGCTTATGCATCTGTGGTAAAAAATTAAAAAACTCATTTATATAAGTTGGTGGGATTATTTGCAACTTACTTTGCAAAAAAAAAAACTATAAATTGATAGGATTACTTGCAATTTAAGAAAACTTTTATTGATGGAGCGCCTACACATTATAGTGTTAAAAACGTACACACATCTGATGAAACGTCTGCACGTGATGCTTTTGAAAAAAGCACATGAGAACTCTTGCACATTTATCTATATGTTTGATAGAAACGTTCATATGTTTGCACGTTTAATAAAAAGAAAATTTCGAAAAATATCAGTAATTTTTATCCTTTTTATCTCAAAAACAAGAATCCTTTTTATTGAATCTACTCGAACTCTCACTTCAATTTCCCTTGCACGTGAGGATGGCAAGGTTCATAGTTTTTTGATAGATCTTAGAAATATGGGATCTTATTATTCATCGATCCAAAATGAATTTAAATCCGAGCTCTTTGGGGATTCTTTTGAGATGAATGTGAGTGTTCTCAACTGATTACATGTCAATTATCAATGGTGGAGTCGGTCTATTGGTAATTTTTCTTTTTCTTTTCAAATTTCTCCAAATGTATTTTCAAAATTAGAGATTTAAGTTTAAAAAAAACGTCTTTTTTCAGTTATTTGAGAGGAATACATAAGAAAATGTTCGTTTGCTCATCAGATTGCTACGATAGGAGTATGAATCGAGATATTATAGAGACTTGTGTTGAAGATTGCAACAGACCTGTCAAAAAGGCAACTAGTATTTTGCAAAAAGAACTTGACGATTTACAGGTGATAATGCAAGTTATAGTATTGTCTAGAATCACGATTACTTCAGGAGTGCGGATTTTATGAGTTTGATATGTATATGTTAGAAGCTTCAACGATGTTATAAGAAGGCTTAACGAGAATTTCAAGATAGACATTGTTTACAAAAAAATCTCGGAGAAGGTACATAGCATTTTGTTTTTTCGCTAATTAACGCGAGTTAATGTTAATCAACATTCCAATGATCACATACTGTTGTAGTAAAATTGGTAACGGTTCGCGACAATTAACTTTGATTACTCCTTGGAAAAAAGTGTAGGATTGATCTCGCGTTTTTTGGTTTTGTTTTTCCCAGGATTATTGACTTCAAAAGGATTTTAAAACATTTTAAGGCACATTTTAAAATATTTTTTTAAGGCACAGTTGAATCGTTGTGGAATGACATGTTTCGACAAAGCGACGCAAAAATTTGGTCCAGATCCCGCAAAGTATACTGAGGTTCAAAGCAAAGAATTTGATAAACAACTTTTAAAGTAATCATTTCCTGTGTTCCCTTCTCTTCTTGAACGTAATCATCTAAATCATTTACTGATATCTGGCTGACATCCTTTTGGTTTGGTAAATCTCGAATTTTTTGGTTCTCAAGTTCCTGTTTGCTTTTTTTTTAACAATAAGTCATTCCAGTTGTGCATCTTCCTGTGTTGACGACCACATCAAACTGCTGCCGAATATTCGGAAACGATTAATTGACTCCTACCAAAGATTTTTGAAGTGAAATTACTTCTTGCCACTTCCGCTTGTTGTTTTATGCTCTAATTGCTCAATATGAGTAAGAACGGACATACATGATTTTTGAAGCGAAATTACTTCTTGCCACTTCTGCTTGTTGTTTTATTCTCTAATTGCTCAATATGAGTACTGGGTTACCTTTCCCCAAGTGCTTGGGACGCTCTTCGGCTAAAGAAAACTCTGGTTGTAAGGCTTTTCGTAAAATTAACGTTAAACATAAAACCGCCCTTGGATGAACTAAATTTTTTGATATGCAATTGTGAAACAATATGCCAGAAATTTACCAATGTCTCTTCATTCTGTATTTGTTTCGTCAGTTTCTTAAGTTCTAAAATTTTCTATTTTGGATGTCAAAATGAATGTGTGGTTGGCATATCTGACGAGTTTCAAAGCGGGATTTAGATGCATCCGCAGATGTTTCAAATGATAGAGGGTTTATAGATTTCCATTAAACCTTCTTTCCTCGGAGACCTACGTAACCTGTAGAACATATCCAACTTGCTGCCGATCCTATTCGCAACCGTCAACCAACAGGGGTTTAGAATTGACCCTAAAATCAGCCCATATCAGTCAGTTAAGCCTTTCCACTCTCTTTATTCCCTCATCCTTCCAAACGACCTTCACACGCCTTTCAAGAAGAAATTACAGGCTCGGAAGAATGCTTCCTCTTTCAAGTAGGCATTGAGATTTTCTCGAAATTGTCTCGGTAATGCTAGAGGAGGTGGAGAACGCTGATCTCTACTGAATAAAATGGGAGTTTTACGACACATAACGAAAGTTTGAATAATGTGTGCCACGGCAACACAAAATTGACTTCAAAGCTACGCTAAAGACGACCGTAGTCTCTATTGTCGTGTAACCTGACATGTCAATACTAGTAAACTGACAGAATGACTGAACACGTTTGTAGCGCATAATTTATTTGTTACCATCAAACACTTTCCAAAAAAATAGTGAATGAACGCGGGCGCTACGTTTTTTTTTTTAAACCTTAATTTTTCATCAGTGACAAATACATTATTTGAACAAAGCGAGGTTCATAATCAAATTCGAGAGAACAGTGTAAAGAAAAGAGGAACTACAGTAATCCGAAAAATACTTCATTTTAATTTAGGCGACAACTGTGAAAGGTTGGAAAAAGAGAAAGGACGATAAGAAAAAATCGGAAAACTATGGATAAAGGAGGAAACAAACATGGGGAAGATTGCTGATGGAATGAAAGGAGAAGGACAAACAATAGAAACTTCTAAATTTGAAATCATACCTAATGAGACTGCAAGGCTTCCACATAAGATGCCAAGTAAAGCATCGAAAAAATTTTGCAAGCCGCATCTTCGTAAGCAGGTATCAGGACCTACGGATCACTGAGTGAAACAAAAAACAAAATATCCCTTTCAAAGAATTAAAAAAAGTGTCCATTTCAAAGAGGTATTCAGATTTTAACAAAAATTTCAGTCGTTCCTTTTTGATTTGATTTACAAAAAGCAACTGCTACAGTATATTTGCAAGATATTACTAGAACCACTCCATCCAATGTGATACTCTTACAGAAAACCTCTTCATTCCGGACCGGACAAACCACCACCATTTATATGAGACGACGTAAACAAACAGTGATAAAATCATAACTACCGTCCACAATTCCAGGGAATAAACGATGCTCTATTTTTATGGTGCGATTAACATCTCTAATTTAACACTGAACGATTAAAAAATAACGAAGTAAAAATGTAAAATAAAGATTTATAAAACATAAAATGCCGTATGTTTAAGAGAACTATTTGACAAGAGCCGGGGATGGTAAACGGCTCACGGCATTCACAGCATAAAACATAACCAAACAACCTGAAAAAAAAAGTATAAATAGATAAACGTGCTGAAGATAAAGACAAAGAATAGAGATAAAGAGCAAGCACAAGAAAAGGCAAAAAGCATCAAATCAAAAATTTTTTGTGATAGTCTCGACATTAGAAGACTTCTAAATCAATGAGTTCTTGCAGCGAATCTTAAGCATATCAAATGAATCTTAATTGAACACATTTTAAGCTCCTTATAAATTTGATCTGTAAGATTTTTAAAATCTGGATTAGGAGGATAAACCAAAAAAACTCAACAAAACTACTCACCTAAACAGGGAAGCATCCAGCCCTGGAAGATTAGTTCCTGCTTCCATACTGTTCGTATTTGTTAAAATGTGCTGCACTGAGGCAATCAAAAAGGCTACATGAGAGAAAGGCTTTACACCTTTAAAAACGTAATTAGATGGATCATTCTTGAAATTTATACTTTTCTTTCTTTCAAACATATTATAATCGCCCTCAGCGGTTTAGAAGCTTTTTTTGGAGAAAGATTGAGGGCACAAAAATTTCTCGTTACATTTTTAAAAAAGAAACTTGACATCAAAGAATAGCACCCGAAATTATCAAATAATAAACTAATGTGTATTATAATTAAAACAGAATAACGAACACGGTGATTAAACGAGTAAAAATTGTGGAATCAAAAAGCAAAATATTAGACAGGCTAAAATTCAAAAAAAAAGTCAAAAACAAAACTATATGCACATACAACCGGTTTTCACGCTCAAGACGAGTACTGCGCAACTGAAATATGGACCTGAAAAATAAATACTCGTGTACTATCAAGGTAATACCAAGTGCCAAATTGTATTAAAATTTATGCTCAACTTCATCAAATTAAGGAAATAATTTTAACAACAGATGAAAGGACATACTGGCTGGATATTAACAAAAACAATATCTAAAAGCATAAGACTGAACTTAGAAAACCCGCTAAAGGTTAATCGACATTACTACTTTTCAGCTTAGATCTAACGAAATGCAGCCTCCTAATGCAGAACTCGCTTCCCTGCTGAGCTTTATTACCAACAACTTTCCATCCGCTACCTTGACTTTCTAACTTCATTTCCAATCCAGGAAGCTCCTGCTATTTGTATTAACAGATATAGAATACAGATGAACCGAAAGAAAGACTTACATATAGCAATGATAAAATAAATCAAAACAACGCAATAAATCGAAAGAGATCAAAATAAAAACGAGAAAAACGCAGCACCTTCACGAAATCTGAAACAGATAAATTTTACATAATATGATTTGACTTTAAAAATTGCTCGTTAAAATAAAAGATGCTTAAACATTACTTCCTTCCTTAACTACCTCCCCCTTTCGACTCTTAAAAAATTAGTTGCAACTACATACATGGTCGACTCAAGGCTATTTTGCTAAAATTGATGTCCGCTGCACGAAATTACCGATCCGCCTTTTCTTTGTCGCATTTTTTCACAAATCCCATCAGTTACTTTTATCCAGTTTAGTTCGTTTTTTATTTGTTTTTTATTTTGTATTATAAAGAACCAAAATTAGAACCAAACCAAAATTATGATTTTTTAAAAATATTTCTTACTGTCTAGGCAGCCGTTTCCTTGGAAGATCCAACCATTTCGCTACCATTCTCATCAACGATCTGATATTCGGCAACGTAGAGTTTCGGATCCACCGACTGAAAACGGCAACACTGCTTAATTTGCACCAGTTGAGAAAATGAATTTCTATACACCAATTAATTTAAAATAAAAACCTTGGAGTGAGCAATTTCTGACAGAAGAGGCAAACGAAATGTTATACAAGTGAGAAAAAGAAACTTTGAAAAATTGTTCTAGAGAAATACTGAGAAGAAAAATTTTAGAAAAACTTTGTTGGAAGATATTAAAGAATAACCTTTGGAATTGGAGCAATGCGAGTCCTTAGCTCAGCTTCAATACGTCGAAGAGTAAAGCGATCTTCGTAAGTGATAAGGTTGATCGCAATACCGAGATGTCCGAAGCGACCCGAACTGAAAACATCATTCTACTCATCACAGCACTGAAGTGTATAATCAAAACTACTCACACCCGTTGTGAAATCTATTTTTTTATAATATACTCCACGAAATTAAAAATATCTGATCTAATAATTAACTGACCCCGTCTTCTCACCTCATTCTCTAAAGCATAAATGGACTGGAATGATGCTCTAGAATCGCAAAAGAACCAATTGCAAACGAAGAACTACAATTGTGCATAGAACAGTTAATAAGAAAATAGTGTTGAAATCCTTATATAAAAAAATTTCAAAAATTGAAAAAGACCAAAATAAATACCGTCCAATACGATGCAAGTATGTTTCGGCATTGCGCGGGAAATCAAAATTGATGACTACATTTACGGCCTGAATATCGATACCTCTAGTAAGCAAATCAGAGCAGACCAAATTACGACAAGCTCCTTTACGAAAATCGTGAAAAACTCGATTACGATGACCCTGTGCCATACGTGAATGGATGTAATAGCAGGAATAGCCTATTTCTGTGATTTTCTTTGCCAAAAGTTCCACACGTTGCGTTGAATTACAAAAAATTATGGACTGGTTGATTTGAAGCTGGAAAAGATCAAATGGTAACTAAAACTGAAATAAATTAAAAGACAGTGAGGTAAGAGAAACTACACCAGACACATTCATGGTCGCAAAACTGATCATACAATCGACCAAGCAGGAACAGTTTATTTGGCTACATTCAGGAAATGTCAAACATTGTGTCGAATTAGATCAAGCCTATTCTTCTATCTCCATTCCGAATATAGCTTAGAATATATGAAACAGTAGCGAACCTTGCGGAACAACGTGTTCAAGCAATGCACTTTCTGCTTTTCTTGCACATAGGCATAATACTGCGTAACACCGACCAGTGTCAATTCTTCCATCAGATTAATTTCATATGGGTTTCTCATGTGCTTCTGCATGAATGTTGCCACTGTCAGTGGAAATGTTGCCGAATAGAGCATAATTTGTCGATCGGGCGGTAGAAATTTGATGACACGATCTAAAATGCCTTGGAAATCCTGAGAAAGCAGTTTATCAGCTTCATCCAATACCAGCGTTGTGCAGTGCGACATATCAGCAACATTCTGCAAATTTATTGATATAAATACCATTTTCCAACCGCAAGAAATACCAAAACTGTCAGGGGACCAACTCACTGGACAACAGCGTTGAATATTAAATTTCAATTTTAACTTAACGCCAAGTTGCTTGGAGATTATTCCTGATAATAAAACTAATTCTGACTAATCCTTTATCATCAAAATTAATAAACCCGTTCTAGCAAGAATGATGGCGATGATGTTATCGACATAGCTTCCGGCAAAGCACAGTTCTTCGACTTGGCCTACAGTGAAGTGGTTTGACAATCGCTTTAGAATTTTTAAAAATGTCAAGGTTAACCGAAACTCTAAAAATTTTTCTCGAATCAATCTATAGAGTTATGGAATCAAACCTTATCCATAAGATCAAGAATACGGCCAGGAGTTGCCACAATAATATGAACAGTACCATTCAGACGCATGATATCGTTACGAAGTTCCGTACCTCCCGTAGTAACCATTACCTGAAATAAACATTTATACTTTGTACGCGAAAATATATGAAAGAGATAGTATGAATAGAGATAGTGTCAAAATCCTAACAGGGAAATCTTTCGATCAAGAAATAATCATTATTTAGTCATTATCCAAAACGTCTGGTCATTCAATGACCAATGTTCATTTGGGAAAGTCATTAAGAAAAATGCATCAAGATCAACCAAAAAGACATAAAGTTCAACCAAACCAAACAATCCAATCAAGAGTCAGTAATTTTGTTGTCAAAAATCTGTACGTTTTCATTACTCTTTAAAAGCAAGACCTCAGATTTTGCAATAAAAAAAAATTGTGGACAGTCTGACAAGTTCACATACGAAGCATGCCCTCTACCTCATTCGCAGGCCATAACATTACTGCGATAGCATAAAGAGATCCTTACACTTTCACAAACCATTCTGGCACTCAACAAAGTTCACACTTGAAGTTTCTGGGACATTTACCTTTTTTTTTTTCGACTCGCTCAATTTTTACAGTTTGTTATTACTTTCCCATTCCTTGGCAAAATGAAAACTTTTCAAGCAGTTGCTTATAGAATTATTTAGTTTCAAAAATTGACCTTCAAATTCATGTGTTTGCTCAAGTCGACACAAATATTAGAGGTTTGGAATGCTAGTTCCCTCGTTGGTACAATGATCAATGATTGCGGATATTTCTTTTCGACATCGACTTTGTCAATACAAGGGATACAGTAGGCACCTGTTTTACCTGTACCGTTCTTTGCGCGTGCTAATATATCTTGACCTGAAAAATTTTTACATCCGTTCAAAAGCTTGCTGCAAGATCCAACATTACCATGTTCTCAGAAACCGGAAACCGAGTCGGAATTTGCCTTTTACTATTTCTTTCCTAGCCGACTCATCAAATGATAAATCTTTGTTACAGCAAATCGTGATTTCTTGGGAATTCTGGAAAAAAAAAGAAAAATTCAAGATCACCTGATAAAGCAATTGAAATGGATGCTTCCTGTATCGGACTTGGCTTTTCCCAACCTTTCTCAAAAATCCCCATCAATAACGGTCGCTTCAAGCAAAAATCCTCAAATTCAATACCTTTTGTATCCGTCACATCCTAAAAATCATTCACGAATTACGCTGAATCTGTCTAGGAAACTAACAAAGCAGTAACTTGAACAGCCAAAACATACTAACCGTTGTCTTGAAGCGCAGATCTTTAGCCGGCAAATTAAGGTTTTCCTTCCAAGACTGATCACTCTGTGACTCCGTTTTGCTGGTCATTTGTGAAACAGTAATAATAACTTTTTACCAAAATTAACAGCAGCTGAGTAGGATCTAAAACCAACTTGACTGTTTTGGTAAGTATGACCAAACTCATAATAAAGCTTGCTACGGAAGATCAAATTCTCGAACACCTTCACAGTCTCTCGGTTTTTTTGTAAGAACCCTTTAACTCTGACTCAAAACAATACCGTGTTATCCTTAACTAAGACCATTGCCTTTCAGGAAAACCTAGTCGGATCAAGTCTTCATATATGAACATCTGCAACATAATTTCAACAAAATATCTGCAAAGACTATTTCGTTCATTTGTAAGTTAACGGTGCATGCAACACTTGCTGCACAACCATTCCCTACATTCACCAAGTCAGTATAAAAAGACACGAAAACTATGCCAGGAAACAACTTCCGTTAAGTTTTACAGTACACAAAGTTTTCTTCAACATATTTATGCGCAGAAAAAATATCCACAACTACGTTAAAGCCATTTTTGAAATTTCGAAATGATGTAAAATAAAATATGAGGCCCATAATCAGTATTTCATATGTAAATTATCTCAAATCCAGGCGCACAACTCACGTTACTATGTTAAATTTAAACGCCTACATTACTTTCACATTCTTTTAAATATCATTTGGAATCGCTGCAAAAACGTTTTGCATGTTTTTGTAATCTACATTTGAGATAAAGATCGGAGATCTCGACACACAAGTCAATAAAGATCAGCCGAGGTCTAGGGAAATAACAAATGTTTCTCCCAAGCACGACTTCGAGGAGTGTTTTCGTAGATCTCGCGCCCATATTACTGATCCATCCAGCGTCCAAATGATCTATCCAGTCGAACCGGGTTTGGTCACATATCATCTTGGAACAACAAAAATTCGTATTTACCATTGAGTTTACATGTATAAGAACGTGATAACTCCAAAATATACATATAATCCCATGTATGTTTCAAAGTTACACGTCAGCAGACTTCGCATGATTGCCACAAAGAAGCTTTTTTTGATTTTTGATTTTTATGCTATATGTGAATAAGTTCCGGGAGTATAATACGCCAATTCTAAGCAAATTACTAAGCCATCACTGTTTTTGAGTTACGTGTCAACAATAAATAGAATATGTTCAAAACTAAACATTTCAACTCCATTTACATTTCTGCCCTAAAATTTCAGTAAATTTGTATGCTTACGACAGTGCACAATATCATCATGTAGACTTTCAAACTACATGTCAGCAAGTACAGTAAGCGCAGCTAATATACGAGATGTGCACCAACCTTAATACGTCATATGTCAACAGTTCACTTCTCAGGCTGAGTTAAAATTGAATAATTAAACGTAAATTCTACAACAGAAAGTGTTCAAACTTAGAAAAATGAGAGGAAATCTGTGGAAATTTTACGTCAAGCATACACCACTACAATGATTATATTGTAGGAAAATCAGGCAAATAACCAATAATACATACTTAAACTAAGAAGAATAACTGCAAAATTTATATAAATGAAAGAATTCCGAAAAAAAAACTTCAAAATCTATATAAATAAGGAAATTTAGGAAAATTTTACATAAGAATAAAATTAACTGAACGATATATTACAAACAAATCACATCAATTTCTCCATATTTCTATGTAAGGATAGTATTACTATAACGAGTAGATCACGTTAAGCAAACAGTATATTTATACCTAGAAATTACTTGAATCATAACTATCATGGATATATTTTCTATTATGCGTCGGAAATGCACAGAAGCAAATGTTTATGCACGAGATTGAACGATTTATTGTTGGCAGATTGGCCATCATTTCCATCAAGCATTATTGCAGTTTACTTTGGTAACGCTTGCAAGTTACACGAACGAATGGGGCTGATACGTTGTACTCAAATTCTGATGTTTCATCTAGCAGTCAGACGAGCAAGTTGTCATGTTTTATTTAACGAAGTGGCCCAGCTCCGTCTACGACAAACTCCACTGAAAGACTTGAACTTGGTTCAAAACAGTATTCCCTATGAAAATCATTTAACGTAAATGTTTCATTTACGTCATGACATTTCATTTGGCAGTCAGACGGATATGCTGTCACACTTCCTTTTATGGCATGCGTGAATTCCGTTAGAACTATACTTAATCCATTAAATGAATTGAAGTTACTCAAAGGAAAAATCCACTACGAAAACTACCTGACACAATAACGACACCAAGAATCCTTCAACCAAGGGAAGGCTATTTGCCAACACAAAGCGTGACGACGATAGAAGCTAAGTTTAACGCTAAGGACCGCGTCTATGGGCCACTACCCTGTGCGCAATTCAATGGCGCTGTGTAGAAGCGTCTTTTACAAGAACATCAGTTCTCATCTTTTTGCAATGTCTGGTGTTTAAGTTCCACTTTTTCTTTCCCTCCATGTCTCATTCTCTCCTTCTTCATGTCTCTTTTTAATCAAATAAGTTATATGTCATGGTGTATTCTCATACTCTACGCGTTCCTTGCCAGTGAACTTCGAATTTAGCCAAAAACTTCCACGAGTAAAGTGAATACCAAAAGCTACATTTCTTGAAATCCTAGTCCGATAAAACAGACTTTACGTTATGTCTTCTCGTTTTTGGCATTTTATTTTGTCACATCCCTAATTTTAGATTTTCCAAATTTCAGAAAAGCTTGAGTTGAAACTTATTTATTGATTAAGAATCCAATTAAAGTTTGAAATCTAATTTGAAAGCCTTCCGACTCACTTTCTTCCTCTTGCTTTTTTTTGAGAAGTTAAAAAGTGGGGATTCTGTTTCGTTAAAATTGATAAGCAAAAACCTTTCAAATTGATAATTACTTTTCAGAATTTAAAGTAATTACTTTTCGAACAAAAACCCTCCCATGGGTATTTTATCACTTCCCACCGGTGCTTTTTGTGAAATACTTTGCCCAAGCATGATTGAGAAAGACATTATTTCTCTTTTTCACATGAAATTTGACCAGGTATATTCAGGATTTACCCTTGCAATTCATTCTAAACTATGTCAATTCTTTCTCTTATCGTCATTTTAGTTATTTATGTATTAGTTTTCAGTTTCTTATTGTATCTTATTTATTGCCAATATTGAAGTAAATTACTATATTAATTCATTCATTTCCCTTTAACTTGCAAAATTTTTTTCCTTCGAATTCCTCAAATTTCCTTTTGCTAGTGTTTATAACATTTTCAAATATTACATATGTAATAGTCAAACTCCTGTCTTTATCATAATCAGTGGGTATGGCTAGCTCAAATGTCTTACTTGGCCATTTCAAATATAATAGTAATAGAATGAACTTCGAGATTCTCCTCAAATTAAATCCCAAATTGCAAATTGATTTCATTCTCAACATATAAATCATCAATTTCTGTATAATTCTTTTCGATCCATCAATTTTTTATTAATTGTTTTTCCTCTGAAACTTCCTAGAATAGTGCACATTTTGCGGCACTATTTTAGCCTTATTTTATTCTTTCATCCTTAAAATCCCTCACAAATTTAAAGTTGCCTCACTTTGCTTTTTTTAAGTTGTATTTTGTAAATAATTTATTTTAGGAACCATTTGAAATTGAAACGATTTTTAAATCAATTGTTTATAAAGTCAATTTATGAAAAAATTTTGGAGAAATAATAAATACGCATTGTTGATTTGAAGTACTCACTCATTGCCTTCTTTGACCAATTAAAATACTTGAAATATGCTAACTACAGAATCTCAAGATGAACAAATAGTGCTAACTGAAGTGATAGTCTTATCATGTCTTTTTTAGCTATTTGTGATTGTTCAATAGCCATGACAAGGAGAAATATGATTAAATTTAATAAGCGTATTAACAGCATCCTTATATGTCCAAAACTGAAGAAATATTTTCACGAAAGCTTTTAACTTTAATTTCAATTTGTTAAATTGTAATTCCTCATATTCCTGGCTTGATTTTCATGTTTGAATTTTCTCGAATTATTGTATTTAGTATTTGAAATCAACGAGTTGTGAAATTTGGATGGACCTGAGTTATTATAAATTATGCCAAATTCACGTGTACGTGAAAGGATAGTGAATGTTGCAGGTAAAAATTAATAATCTTAAAATCTTTTTTGCACTAAATTTAAATCCATATATCAATTTTTATATTTTTTAATATATAGTATAATTCGATAATAATTTAGCCAATTTCAGTTGGTTCCAATTTTGAATGTTCCAGGCAAAACTTCTACTTTTCTGCTTTCTAAAATTTTCATTTGGACGAACTCTGGAAAATGTAGAAGGTTCTAGAAAAAATGTTTTTAGAAAAAAAAAATTTAGAAGAAAAAAGAAATGAAGGAAATGGAATAGGAAGGTGACTCATCATCTTGGGAAGATGAAATGCTAAATTAAGTGCACTTTTAGTGAAATGTTACGATTCAATATTTATTTCCTTGTCCCATTCCTAAACATATACTATCGATTGATCGTCACTGAAAAAATTATTGTAATGTGTGATCTGCTGCACTTTTCATTGTTTTATTGTTTGGCAACGACGAATGGTTGTGCGGAAGACTTGTTAACTTTCGGAATACTTATTGTTTATTAAGATAACAAACAGCAATCAGCGAATAAAGTGAGAGTAGATCACTGGATTGGCTTCGAGATTTTTGTAGAAATATATGGGAGATTTCAGAGGACACTGTTCTTCGAGAAGTGGTAGTAATGGAATTGAACCCATGTGATTGACTCCTCCTGTATGATGTACATATTATACCTTTTAATAGACTGGAAAAAAAGTTACAATAGAGAAGCTTTGTTGGTGACACTAATTCGGCATGGGAATATAAGTTTGGTTATTACGTTAAAAAGTTTTCAGCAGTGAATCTATCAGCATCACATAGGGCTTTGTTGCTACAATCGAGAGATTGCAATTAAAATAGAAAATTATTATTATTATTTTTATGTAATGAATCATTTACCTAAAAAATATTCAAATTAAGACAACTTGTACAGACCATATTCAGGTATTTGCATTCTAAAACGCTTTGATTTGATAAAAATACTCTGGTTTTTTTCCAATGCAACCTTTTTCTGTTTAGAAATGCGCTTGGCAAGGTGTTTGTTGCAACAATTTAGAGATCATATGCTCTTGGAAAAAATGAAATACTACGGATATTTTCGTCCACATCCTATATCATTGAAAATGTATTTGGGTTTTGGACAGGAGGGAACTGTGGAAACATCATTCAAATTTTTGCAAAAAGAACTTCTTGTTCGTTTAGCTAATATTACAAAGGTAAAATTGACGTTTATCTTTTTTTTTGCTACATGTTGGGTAACATTGCTAAGTGAATTCAAAGTTACATGTGTGAGATTATTTTGATACATAAATTTATGTAAAATAATGATATCGATCATGTGAAAATACCGGATGAGTCCAAGAATATGATTCATATGATATTATTTTAATGTTTCAATAAGGTAACTAATATAATAATACTAGTTATGTAAAAGTGGATTGAAGGTGTTCAAACCTGCATTTAGAAGTATAATGCATACAGAAATACGTAAGCCAAACTATGAAAAATTCCAAACGAGACAAGAGGATGAGGACAAACGCTTACCTGGATCATAACGTTGATAAATCTGTTTCTTAAGTATAGAGAAAAAAGGACTATTAATTTCATAAATTCATTTCAATTGCGAAGAGGAAGAATGTGAGATTTTTCGTTCTTAGGAAGTTGATTCATTACTTCGAAACTTACCTCAGATGTCTTCTACTGCCGACATGCGTGAATTGTATTATCAAAGTTTTGAAGATTTGTTGCCATTTGAAAATGTTGAGCCAACCGATGATAATATCAGTTTGTAAGTTCCTTCATTTCATCTTATCATCCCAAAGTTTTCTTTTATTTTTCAGTTTGAGATCAGTATCCTGCAATCCAATGATTTTCTACAATTATTTGAGCCTTTCTCTAAGTTTAACCTTTCAGCCAGTTCAATCATCTAATTCATAGGTTTGTAGGTTTAACGAAAAGTTGGAAAAAGTGATGTTACGACATGAAAATACCATTGAAAAAATGGCTGAAGATATTATCCAGTTACGACAAAAATATGGCATAAATATAACATCAAATAATAAAATCCAGTGTTACCTGGAACGATTTTATTTCAATACGATGTCTATACAGATCTTACAGCATCAGCATTGTCAGTTATTCCTACCAGTTTTCGATAATTTAGAAAAGTTAAACTAATATTTAATTTACGTGGACACCCTATAACATACCTTTTGATTTGTAATTGTTAAAACTTTTGTTAATTTATCAATTTTTCATAAAATTAATGCATGTAAGTTCACTCATGTATTTTTGATTCCCATTTATTGGTTTACTTATTCATTTATTTGTTTGTTTGTTTATTCACTTATTCATTCGTATTTATTTGTTTATTTATTGTATCACTCATCGCAATTTTCATAGATCCTTCTGTTAAAGTCCAAACACTTCTGTCCTAGGTTTTCGAGAGTTCTAACCTATACACTATGTATAAGTTATAAATAAGCGTGAATTAATTAACTATGCTGAAGTCGAATACTTGAATTATTAACCTGGAAAGTGAAGAGATAGAAATTTCTTATTTTAAGAAAAGTCTTTTTATTTTTATTTCAGTGATAGTTTTCGGAACATTACTTCCACCAAGTCCTCGACATATAGGTTGCATTGATCCAGCATGTGATATTGGAGCAGTTATTTTAAACGCTTATGACAGTGCTCGATTCGTGTGTGATGGGTTAGCATAATACGGACAGAATTTCATTTTGCTTCTCAAAAATATTTCTATGATTTTTTAAAATTATATATTATGTTAGGTGTCATAATCCGATATAACATTTTGCTTTTGTTGCCATAATTCATGTGATCGTGGACTTATCAGCTGTTTTTTTAAGTTGTTATTGTGATACGCCTAAATTGCAATTCGATTCTTATAATTCGGTTGCACCTGGACAGCCGATAGCTATCGCAGCCATACCATCGTATTTGTATCATATTATGTTTGAATTATTCAAGGTGTTGATGGATTTTTTCAAATTATCTCTTAATTGCGAATTTTATTAAATTTTAACAAAAATTTTAACTGAAAAACCTTGCAAAAGAAGTGGTTCTTAAAGTTTTTGCAGAACTCGATGCGTGCTACCGTTAATCGTTACGGTGAGTTCGAAAAACTTCCTCCAATTCAAGTATTGGCAACATTGGGCGAAGAGGATTTGACAGTTAAGGTAATTAGAGGTCAATTTTAAGAATATATTTATTGGAAAAGTACCAGAACTGAAATTTTCCCAAATAAATTATATTAGCAGTGCGAGGAACATGTAAAGAATTGAGATTTGTGATATGTCAGAATTTTCGAGTGAGGTGAAAATGAAAAACTTGGTCACTGGTACTTTGTAGAAAGGATGATTTTGAATTGCAGGTAAGTGACAGCGGTGGTGGCATTTCACGAAGAAAGATGGATCAGCTGTTCCGATACAGTTATACTACCGCACCATTACCAGAAACTAGTGGCCACATTGCAGCATTGGTAAAGTCATAAATGAAATTGGTGGAACTTTAATACCTTTGTTGTTCATAATTTTGGCATTTCACTACAACAGTCTTAGGATGTTGATTTCGAATTTCATTTACATTCCCAGATTCGATTGTTGCAGGCAGGATATGGTTATGGCCTTCCTCTGTCTCGGGTATACGCTCGCTATTTTCACGGCGATTTGATGGTCAGTTCGATGGAAGGCTACGGAACCGATGCATTTCTGTATATTAATGTAAGCATGCGTTCGTCTCGTTTCTTACTTCTCTACAAGTGAAAACTTAAACTAGAAGAACGGACTTCTGTGGACTAAACGCAATTCTTACTTCAAAGGTTGATCGTTTGAGCTCTCTAAATTTGTAACTTTAATTGCATTTCAAATTTCTGGGAAAAAATTTCCAGGCAGTGCCATTTAAAGGCAACGAATCAAGTCCAGGGTATAGTACATCATGACGAAACAGCTTTCTAGTTCGCCAAATGTTTCTCAACCATTAGTTTGAGAACTGTCCAGAATTCATATCCGAAGAAGAATATAAAGCATTAGAAAATAATTATTCTATTTGATGAAGTTATCAAGTGGTTAGCATTCATGAAGCAATGCAAAATACGAATCATTGTATTACTGTTAGAAATACACTGTACATTTGTATACGAAAATGATGATTGATAAAGAGTTGTGGTTGAGTAGATGATATTTAAATCATATACTTTTTGAATTTGAATCATGCACTTTGTATAGCATTTTATTAATTAGTCCAATGAAATTGTTTGCTATATATGATATGGCTATCTATTTGATATCCAAATGAATTAGATTATGTATAGGAGTAATAATGTTACGATGATCAGCAATGAAAATGTCTTCGTCAGTATCATGTTAAAAAAGAAAAAGAAATTTCTGTCGTATAAAAAATTTTCTGAGATATTTTTAAAATATATATTCTAATGCAGTATTTGTAATCTGCAAGTATTCGTACGAATTTTACGCTTACGTTGCAGGAATATAGTTGTCGTGAAAAAATGTTACCTGGTTTGGATCTGGCTTGCTAAACTAATACATTACATAGAAGATTAATTCTCAAAAGAATATGATCAGTTTAACGGAAGTCCAGATATGTTAACCATTGAATATATAAGCATGGTTATCAGATTAGAGACTTTTACATTATACCCATTATTGTGCATAAGCTGAATTGTCAGACTTAGCTGCAAACTAAAAGCCAAAGATTACAAGTAACTTAATTATCAAAGCTGCAATCTTTTATTACAGTGTCACGAGAAATGGATAAATGATTAATCACTTAATATGTTGGGAATTTAATTTTAATTTTCGTGTAATTTGTGATGCACACGCTTTGGTTGTTTTAATATGTTATTCTCGCCAATAGTTGATCCAAATTACTTAGTTAATAAGTAAATCCGTTAATTCCTTCACATCAGTATTATTTAAATTTAATTTAATCCTTAATAATTTAATTTACATATGAAAGTTCCCACTGGTGTGATAATAACCAAGTGAAATTCATTTAGATGAGCAACATGAAAATCGACAGTAGCCGATACAAGCCAGAATTTTTAATTTTTTGAAATTTTTTTCAATTTTATTTTTCATGCTGTGAAGAATTTCCCAGTTTCTTTTATCTTTTTACTTTTCAGATGATCTTTTTTCTGCTGTGAATTTGAGTTAAACAGAACAGAAATTTTTTAGAACTTGCCGGGCAAAATTCATTGCTTATCATTCGTAATACTCAGTACTTAAGAATGATAAGTGACTAATATAAAAGATTTTTTAATGACAGGATATCAGAGGAATTATGACGTTATAGTGTGTGACATCAACGTTAAAGTGCAACAAATTCATGTTCTTATGCTTGAGCCAGTCATTTGTAATTTCATTTCAAATTTGCAATTTTTTTTTTAATTTTCAAAAATTTCGTTTCAAAAAGCTGATCGAAAATTTGAAACGAAGTTACAGCTGACTGGCTGTTAAGGGAGCATTTAAAAGGGACTAATTATACTTAACCTATAATAGTTGAAATTTGAATAAAGTATTATATATAACAAGGACAAAAGAATAAAGAAGGAGAACTTCAAAATTAATATAGAATCAATTAGTGATAGTTGCACATATACATTACACATACGTATATAATGGAATCAAATGGTCTAATATAACCATTAAAACTGAGAATTGAAAAATTAAATAGTATTATAATTTGTTTAAATATGTAAATTAAATATAAATCAATGAACTCCTATCGACAAAAAAAAAAATGTTGGAAGGAGGAATAGATATATAGATATAAAAAAATGAAAAGACCTGAAACTTAAAAACTTACGAAACAATATGCCTTCATCATAGTTGTTTCATTTTTTAACTCAATTTTGAAAGAAAATGAAGAGGAAAAAAAAAATGGAGAGAAAGTGGAGAGAAAAATCCAGCAAAGGATATTTATGGTATGCTCCGGCTTCAGATTTTTTTTTGAGGATTGTTTCTTTTTTACAAATATTGTTATCATTTTTATCATGTCACCAAACTGTGCGTGTTTGTCAACATGAATAATACGAATAATTTTTGCGTGGAGCAAAGAAACAAGGAAAACAAAAATTTTTTAAAACAATTCATTTAAAAATATATACGGAAGTAATGCTTGAAAAAAAAAACAGTTGAAAATATATATTATAAAGTGACCGAAAATTCACTGGAAAGCTAAATGTCAACATAAACTTGGTAAACAATTAAACATATCTGAGAGAATTAATATCTGAGAGAATTAGTGGTAATGAAGTTGGAAAATCTGAAGAAGAGTTTTCAATACTTGACAAATAATAATTGTCGAAAACTCTCATAAGAATATATCCCCAATGCGTCATCTTTAAAATGGAATTATTCTTACAGAGATAAAGGTTTCACATTTCTTTAAATTTTATTTTATCGAAATATGATAATTCATAGATGGAATGAGGAATTCATGAAAAGAATGTTATCAGAAAATAAAGCTGAGAGTACTACTTAGGCACTATCTGCCCTTATTATCACTGGTACTAGTTTGTAAAATTGAAAATATAACTACCCGCTACAACGAGATCAAATATATTTTACTATATCTATGTTTCATATATATTTTTTACTTGCATACTCGTAAACGAAATACACAAGCGCGAGAAAAAAAAACAATGCTCTAAATCTCAAGATAAATATATTTGCATAATTTTGGGTTTAAAAATTTTTAAATTTTCGAATTTTTCCAAACACTTCTTGAAATCTTTGTTAAATTCATTTTATTTACTTAGACCGGAAATTTTCACGCAATAAATCTTTAAATAAATCATTTCTCCAATTAGCCTTGACATTCCTCACTCCTTTTTCTGCAAAGAAAACAAAATTCACATCTTTCCTCTAAAAGACGATCAAAAAAATAGATGAATCCCTTCTTCTGGTTGCAATACAATAAAAGTAGAATTTTAAACAGTTAAAATGAAGAAAGAGCCTTCTTAAATGAATTTTCGAATGGATTAAATTTTTTTGAAACATCATCATATCCCGCATTATGAAAAAAAACCCGGAAAAATAGGACAGCTATTTCAAATAAAAAACAATTGTTGCAAACGACTTGGATGATGTATTGATATTTTGTGCTTAATACAAATATTTGTTTAAAAATTTGAACGTCAAGTATAGGGTAGCTTTGATTGGATTTAATAAATAAATAAATAAACAAACAAATATATAAATAAATAAGTAAATAAATATAAATATAAATATAAGTGTAAATATAAACATAAATATAAATATAAATGTAAATATAAATATAAATATAGATATAAATGTAAATACAAACATAAATATAAGTATAAATACAAATGCAAATACAAACATAAATATAAATATGAACATGAATATAAATATAAATATAAGTATAAATACGACTATAAATGCAAATATAAATATAAATATAAATGTAAATATAAGTGTGAATACGAATTTAAATATAAATATGAATATGTATATCTATAATCTTCAATAGATCCAAATTTCAATTCTTTTCAAATTCGAATTTTTATTAGTATATATATATATATATATATATATATATATATATATATATATATATATATATATATATATATATATATATATATATATATATATATATATA